AAAAAAAAAAAAAAAAAGACACTCACTCACTCACTCAATCAATCAAATCAATCAATCAATCAATCAATCAATCATTTGTTTATTTGTTTTTGAATTTTGCATGTGCATTTTTTTTTAAACACCTCATTTCCCTGCAAAAAACAGAAATTCATTTAGAAAAAAAATACAGGTCGACTCGGGGACCATATATGTCATGATAAAAAATGACAAAAAACATTTCCAGCTTTTCTTTATGTATATATTTTTTAATTTTCTTTAAATCGATTTCAATTTTTGATTTTTTAAAAAATATTAAACAAAGTTGGATTCCAAAACGGAAATATGGGAGTGTAGGGTTTTCCAAGCCCTACACCCCCATATTTGTTTTTGTTTTTTTTACGTATTTTTAGGGGGTGAAAAAAAATATTGAAAAACTAGGCCGCAGACTGGGCCTCATCGACCGAGGCTGCGGCTGAGAAAGTCGGCCGCAGCGGCCGAAATGCCCACGGCCTAGGCCGCGGGTGTCACATAGCCGACCACCAAGCAGGGAGTCTTTTTAATATTTTTCTTGAATTTTAAACTTACGAAAATCCTCAAAATTTTCTCTTACAATTAGGACTGTAATTAGGCTTCGGTAGCATCGTAATTTTTTTTTGGATGTAACTTGAGGATGCTCCCTACTCACGTGCACTGTGCTGCATTCTGTCCTGCGCTCTATCCCCGCCGCGCCTTAATTCTATGCGTAATTGAAATCACTTCTTGGCAGGCGCGGGTGTAACTGTAATCCTTCCCTTCTCGACCTTCTTGCATGCTCTCTCTTCTCTTCTTCTCATTGGCCAGGACAATGCATGGCTGGATCGATGTGTGGAGAGTGGCTACATTTTCCACGCCGCGGCCCCGCCATGCAGTTGTAGGCACTTCCTTTTCCCTTCCACTTCAGCGCAATCCCAGGTATCTCGCGCGGACACTAAGCGCTATAAATTTTGCAAGCGCAACTAATTCACTCTCTAATCAAACTTTGGAGTTAGCGCGATCGAGGAGATCGGCTCACAAGCAGGAGCAAGACAGTGAGTAGGGAGTTGGGAGATCCGATTGGCTGGTGCTGAGTATGTGGGGTTGACGTGGGGTTGCGAAGGACTGTGGCACACGGGCGAACCTGGCTTGAAGACTCATACTAAGCGGGGTGACAACTCTGTGGTGTTGGAAGGTGTGAGGCAACGGATTGCCCACATCGAAGGAATGTAGAGAGAAAGAAAGAGAGAGAGTGAGAGTGGTATGCTGGAGTGATGGTTTTTCTTCTCGTCCTATTTGAACCCTCTGTATAATTTTTGCTTTGGATACTGGTCATTTTGCTTGCGGCCCTTCTTCTTTCTCTTCCCTCTCGTATGATGATGATGTATAGATTTGTCTCTTCCTCTCTAAGACTCGCCTTTTTTTGTCTTAGGAAGATAAGAGTGCAGGGCTATCATTGCGTCGATTACGGAAAGGTTGTGATCGGAATTGTAAATGTTTTACTAGATCATATGGTTGCATGAACTTAATGATGGTCCCCGTCTTCTCTTTGGCATGACGAAGTGGGTTGTTTGATTAGATGTTTCGAACGCACAGAGCCGTGAAGGATAAGTGGTAATTAAGAATGAATGCATGCATAGTCTAGATTCGTCAAAAATATGAGGCAGACGGTCTCCCAGTCTGTTGGAGACAGATCTTGTGAGTGTGTACATACGGACGACTGAGTGAATCCCCGCATATATACGCATTCGCATGATCTACCTCTGACTAAACCACATGCATGGACCTAGATTTTCCCCCAAGAGATGGACATCGGTATTCCTTTCTTGATGACTGACTGCGACTGTCTTAGAGACCCCGAGTACCAACGAGCACCTCTCTCGACATTCGAGGTTGGGACTCCCTACCTCACCATATTTAAAACAAAAAGATGAGTTTGTGCATGGGAGTTCCAACAGGCGGTGGGGCGAAATCCCCGAATCCCCATTAGCCCCAGTATGCTCGATCCCCTGACAGTGTCTCTCACGACCCTGGGGTTCGTCGTCATAACCACCGAGTTTCGTCCCTTTTATCGCCTCCTCCCTTACCCTACTCTGGTAGTTTTTCCCTGGAACGCAATCACCCCTACTAGCCACGAAGATTATGCTCAGAGTGCCGACAATATA